ATGATCTTTGAGAGATAAAGTAATTAAACAATCATTTGATAGTGTTCATTTTTAGTGAAATTGGATAAACTTGTCAATCTTCCTGCTGAGTGGTTCCTGCAAAAGCCAGTGGAAAAACTGAACAAAAAAGTAAAATAAAATCTCTTTATACAGCTTTGAAAAACCGTCCATGTGGAATGCAGCACGTATTCAGAGGTACAGTTTTTGGAAAATGGAATACAGAGGCATTAACCAAGCATTTGTGATGGCGACGTAGATTCATTTATGACCATAATTCTTACACTCATCTCATTTATAACAGGGTTCAGAAATTTTCTCCATCCATTCAGTGAAACATGTGTCTCTACCTCTTGAATCCAGCTTGGGATTGTGACACGTTTAGAACAAATACACCTTGACAGACATGAAACTGTACTCCATTCAAACTTACACCTAAAACTTAAATTTAGCTTTGCTAACTCTTTGTTTCCTGACCAAATGTTACACAAATATGCCCAGGTTAGCTTATGGATAAAGAAAGACATGCAGTCCAGTCTACCTCTTAGACTTACTGGCAGCAAGTCAACCAGGCAGGCAGTAATCAGTTAACCAGCAAATTATCACACATACAAGAGTAAGCCTAAATAAATGAAAACTGTCCAATCCAGCTTACACCAATCGACTAAACCAAGGATCATGAATTTAAATGAATGGAAAATAATCTCACTGACAGTGAAGTTAAACTGGATTTCCAGCTTGATTGGCTGAGAGTAACCCAAGAGACCGGTGAAGCCCAAGTATGAATATATCTGGGTTGGTCATAGGTTGGTCATGAGGTGTGTGACCTTGACTACTATACCTTATGCCTGTGTTATGGTTGATAACATTTTGTCAACATGAGGAGTCCAGAGGCTTGGCTAAGTGACCCAGCAGTTTTGTATCTAGAGGTGGAAAGGACATGCCCTTACCATTCTGGAATGTTGTTCACTGTGTCAATTTGAGAAGTTTAGAAGTTTGACTACGTGACTTACCAGGGAGCCAAGGTGCTTAGTCTGTGTTTATTCTGAGCCTGTGCAAGAGGAGGGCATGCAGAGAGTGTGGGTGTAGACTGTTCAGCTTCTGCCTGGGACTCTTCATCCTCTGGTGTAGGCTCTCTGGCCTTCATCGTAGATTCTTCAGTGTTCTGTAGCAAGCCCATCAACCTCCTGATACAAGTTTGAACAGATACTGGAGTGTGCTCCAGGCCTGGGACTGGGCTTTTCAATCTCCAGCAGGCAGAGCCTGGATCCTTCTTCTCTAGAATAGTCTCCTTGCTTTGCTGCAGCTTCCTCCACATCATGTCCTTCTACCATGATATTTCTGCCTTGGAACCAACCAACCAACCATGTACTGAATCCTCTGAGCCCATGAGCCAAAATAAACTCTTTCCATAAGTTTTGAGTGTCAGGTATTTGGACCCAGTTACAGGAAAGCAGACTAATTCACTGATACTAAATAAAGAAACATTAAGGTACCTGAATAGTTACATAACATGAAATTGTTATATGTCTGCTATACATTGACTACCTGAATAGCTGTTTTCCCAAAGAGGAAATTAGAAGCCATAGAACTTGCTTATCACTTCCTCCATTCAGGGAAGAAAGATCGTCAATCATGCACAAACTCTTTCAGATAAGAGGAAAAAAATTTTTTTTCAATTCATCTCATGAGCTAAGAATAAACTAGATATTGATTTCTATAATAATATGATGAGAATTAGGCATAAAATTTATTTCAATAATATGATATTGATTTTATGCAATCATTAATCATAGATGTGAGCTGAATAGATGAAGTTCATCACATTAACAGTATTAAAAAGTAAGTGACCATTTGAATGAATACTTTTTCTTCTGTTATTTTTTCCTGAAGAACTACTATAATGCTAATTATTGCAAAAGCCTAATGACCTTAAATAGCAAGCATTCATATGTCACCCTAAGGTTTAGAGGTTAATAAGGGTGTTCCTGTTTCCATGAATGGGTCAAATTTGGTCTGTTCTACCTGATTTCTTGTTGAAGAAGCCTGCAGTAGAAACAATTGTCTGGGAGACTCTCTTCTCATGGCTATTAGCAAGAGAAACAGAGAACAAGCTAACAAATACAAACTACAGTTGCAATCCCTGGTGTGTCATGTCCACTAACATTCAATTGGAGGTCTACATGAGCAAAGCAAAGGAAGAAAAAGTGAGAGAATTATAAGCAAATACCTGGCCCCAAAAATGTGATAACATTCCACTTCCATTAATGGATAACAAAAGTGATTAAGAATCTAGGAAAATAGCTGTTTTACATTCTGCACTTTAAAAAAATGAAGAAAAGAAAAGAATATTGATAATACATGCCTATGATAACTAATACATTTGTGGTAAAATATTGAAGCTTTAATCTAAAAATTAAGACAAGGATGTTTGTATCACCAGTATACTGAACACTGTAGAAAAAGTTCTTTACCCAATAAATAAAGAAGAGAAGAGAATCATTCTTATATGAGTATATAGATAAAATATCTACAATGTTGTAGAGATAATTGTTTAGAAATCAATAATTTAATCAATGTAAAATCATGTACAAAATCCATTATAGGTACCAACAATATTCAATTGAAAATGCATATTTTAAAATTCCAAAATTAATTTGGTATTTTAACAAAAACAAATTTTCACAAACATACATAAATCTTAAGGAATTATTTTGTAAATAAGATGTATATGAGCAAGGAAAATCTAATTCTCATAAATAAAGAGAAATATTTACCCATATATGCATTTAAGAAATTTGTAGAGGGTAAACTTATGTATCAATAATAGATTTAGAGACCATTAAACAACTATCTGACAACTGACAAGTTACTGTTTATCACTGAAAATCTCAAGGCCAGCAAGAAATATTGTAAGTCTTAGCAGTGGCTGGTGCTAACTTACCTTCAATTGGAATGGGAAGAGGGTAGAGAGAGTCTTACATGTGTTAGGTGAAAAAAAGTTAGGAATTATAATGGAAGTCTATTCTACATTGGATACATTATTCATTATTACTAAAGCCCTTGGTGGACCAAATTCTTTTATAATTTTGCAGGGTGATTACAAAATTCTGAAAAATGTGATGAATTTTACAATATAGGTTCATTATTTACTACAAGTTGAAAGCTTTACATATTACTGCATTCAATTCAAAAAGGGTGAAGTTGATGCTGCATTTGGATGAAGTCAGTGTTACATTTTACAGATAAAGAAACTGAAGCTTTGAGTTTTTTCCATTTTCTTCCATGTTTACCGTCAAACATGTCAACCCGTATTTCACTAAAAGCACTTTCTTCCTGTAGTGGAGTTTCTTCGTCTGACTTCCCTCTCAGTATTGTCCAACAGCGGCCTAGGCCAGAAGATGATGTTGTTAGCAACCAGGTCCCTCCCACTCTTTCTCCATAACATGTTTAGACAAAATAATTTTTAAGAAAACAGGTATCCTATTGATTTATTTTTGGATGTTTTGTGAAAATTATGCAAAGTTTTCCTATTCCTACTGCTTCTGATGGCGTTAGACCACTGTGATCTTTTGCTATGAATATTGCAATCTTCTTCTTACCCTTTCTTTCCAGTTTTCCTGATCCAATTCACTCTTCACACTTCAGATACATGAATCTCTCCAGGAGGTAACTCTGGCTGTAATAACCCCTGCTTAAAACCTTCCCATTCATCCTCTCATTCTCAAAGCTTTTCCCAATCTCCTGCACATCATTTAACTCACCTCCCTACGTTTCCACGCCCTCATTTCTGCAGCAAATCCTTCACTTCCCAGTTAAGGCTCCAGACTGTCGGATTCACCTCTAGAAAACAAATCAACCAGCTTATTTCCCTTAGTATTTACAAATGCTTTCCCCTATATATGGCTAATTTGTATTTATCTTTAAAAATTCATCTTACATATTTTATACTAAATTTTCTAGCAAATCCTCCCTGAATTAACACCCTTCTCTGTGTTTTAACTCACCATGGTCATCTTCCACTATCAATTGCTGCTTTAAGTGCATTGGAAATTGTCTGCTTTTTCATCTAGTGAGCCATTAAATACACACACACACACACACACACACACACACACACACACACACACACGTTGCTTGTTCTCTCCATAAATAGGACCTGAGAGTCCTAGTTTAATCATTTTCCTCAGAATTCCTTGTAATTACTGTATTTCTTGAGTGATTTTCATAGAGATTTTGGTTTTCCTCTTACCCTTTTCATACTAGTAGGGATTCCTCCTCATGTCCACTGGGGATGCTTTCTCAGTGTTTTTGCTTCTCTGGGAACCAAGGAATAAACAAACCCCTTCCTTTTTATTTTGGGGCTACCCTGCAGTTTGTTCCCCTAAAATCATAACCTGTCCATGTATCTGAGGTACATTGTTTCAAATCATTTTTCCTGCCATAGTATTTTAAAAACTTGAGGAAAAAAGTACAATATTATAGGATGTGAGGGAGATCTGGCTGCGACATCTGTCACCCCGTTCATTGTCAAGGTTGATTCGGCTGACCTGGCTGGCTAGGCAGGTGTCCCCTTCCTCTCTCAATGCTCCACGTGTGTCCCTCTTGACGTAGAAGAGGACGACCACCCCCAATAGAGGAGGACCATTCCTTGGTCAAGCACATATGGGTAGCTGAGCTCCCCTGCTAGAACCTCCAAACAAGCTCACAAGGTCCATTATTACAAAAATATCTATTTTCCAAAAAATACCTGGCAAAGTATGCTATATGCATAGAAGCTTTGCGATGTTGTCCTGAAATCTCTCTGGAGCTTGGATAGTTCTCATAAAAATGACAAGTCTTTGTTTTGTTCTGATTTTCTCTTTTAATATTAGAAAAACAAGAGCACATCCTAGTCATGAAGCCTCCATGTAGATTTTACTAGAAGTGGGAGGCTCCCTGACTACGACCTCGGGAGAGTGCAGGCCTTTGGAAGACCCTCACGCCCTCTCTTTCTGTGTTAGACAGGACTATGAAGATCTAGAGAAACAGCTGAAAGAAGTCTTTAAGGAGCGAAGCACCATCCTTCGTCAGCTGACAAAGACATCCAGGGAGCTGGATGGAATCAAAGTTAACCTTCAGGTGAGATGAGAACTAATTACCTCCACAGCAAAGGCACTTGCTTAGCCCCCCTAGATTTGTCTGCATTTTTAAATAGTTTTTAATATATTTCTGGGCTTGACCATGGTAGTTATTGCTTGTTATTACATGAGCTTTGAAATGAAATGGCATTTGAAACGCAGGCCTTGGGAGCTCAGATTTCCCAGTACAGAAAGGTGGAAATTATTTGCTTGCAAAACCATCAATTCCTTACAGCTTCTAAGATCAATTTGACCCCTGTGCTTTTCATATTATAAAATGATGAAAAGTAATTAGACCACTATTGAAATGAATATAGGAGGAGTAATATCTAGGAGAGAGTTTTAAATTCTCTGTAGAATAGTTCTGAAGATTTTTAAAAATAAATCTCATTACCGAAATGGGCAAATGTCTCAGGAAGGGAACTGTCACCTGTGAGAATGTACTCCCTCAGTGAAATTGAAAACTAAAAAGAAAATCTATTTCAGACAATGAAAATCCCTCAATATCTGATGATGTTTTAATCTTTAATTTCAAAGACTGCATGTATTAATCACAATTCCTGTGATAGATGAAAAGCTTTGTGTGCATCACACAATGTAGTCCTCATATCCACGAAGTTGGTATTACTTTTGTGATTTTCCTTGCCATAAACTGTCCTACTTAGAGCAAATGAGTTACTTTTGAAAGTCAAAGAGGAAGGCAGAATTTGAATGCAGGCGGTGTGGTCCCATAACCCGCTCTATTTGGTGATGAGCTGACCCGTGTCCCTGAACCGAGCTCGGCTACCATCGTCCACACTCTCCACAGCTTGCTGTTCCTTTTGGGCTGATGTAACCAGCAGTCACCAAGGCTTGGTGAAGTGTGTCGAAGCCCGCTACTGGGTGCTCTTCCTCACATTTGTATTTAATTTTATCAAGAAGGCATGTCATTGCAGCGGTGAGGAAACAGAGCTGTATGAAGGTTTAAAAAACTAAGAGCACAGAGCTAGTTCAGGCCCAGAGTCGATACTCGAGCCTAATGCTGAAGCTCTGCTTCTGGAAGTCCTGTTAAATATAGCCAAGATGGAGATAAGGAACATAAGAAAAGATCACCCACACCCCATTAGGACGCAGACAAAGGGTGCACGTCATTAAGCAAACGATGATCAGAATAAAAAGGGGTGAGAACTGATTTAGAGTTTTGTAGGAAGCCAGTGTCTGAGACACACTTTATTACGTGCAAATTCACTACGTGAGTAAAACTGAGAAGAACATTTGAGGCTTCATGTGTTCTCAGAAGTGTAGAACAAAAGGCCCCTTGAGACTGCTGCAAGTATAGGGGGAGACGTCCAAGCGTGGTCATCGTTTCCAGGGTTAGAAGAAGCTTGGTCTTTGCATCAGAAGCATATGTCAACGCATCTTGCTATAGAATACATTTTTGAAAATGTAAAACAATCTTACGCTTGATTATAATTGAGCTTTTAAAATATTTTTGTTTGTTTTGTGCCAGCCACTACACAGATGATTTTTCATGTTTTATCTTATTAAATTTTCTTAGCAAACATTTCACATAATTAAACATTTCATTATAAAATGTGAAAACAAGTCTCCAAGAGGATACCCAAGGTGCCTAACGTCTTACTTACAAAAAGTGGTGATATCAGGTTTCAAATGCATAGTAAATAACTATTTAGCCCATTGTACATTTTTTTCTTTCAAGAAGATAGAAGCTTTGGAAGTTCATATTTGAAAGTCTTTTCCACCTTTACAACCTAAATAGGATGAAAATATAGGAAAGCATAACATCATATGCTTGGTATGATCAAAGCTGGATAACTTTGATGTTCTTAATGGAACAAAGACAATTTTTAGAGAATTATTACCCATTTCTCCATCAATTGAATATGCCTTGCTAGCCCAAATCTGGATATATATGCTTTGCACTTATTCATCTAAAGACTGTTTATTTTTCTGGTGCTGGGGATTGAATCCAGGGCCTCAGCTATGCCAAGCTCATGATCTGTCACTGAGTTCCATCCCAGCCTATGTCCTCATTTTTTAATGTGAAATTTCTTCAGCGCGATTTCCTAAATTTTTAACCGCTGATCTTTCACAATGCCTAGATTATAAAAATGTCAATTAGTGAATAAACCCATTTTTATTTCTCATTTCACCAGGGTTTTTACACATCTATTGTATTCTTGAATTGAACTATGCAATGTCTCCAGGCCCTTCATAATGTACATCTCTATTTTTTATTAATATGAGGTGGAAAACTGCCCAGAGTCATTTGACCATGGTACACTTTGATCTCTAAATACCACCAATAATGACCTTCCCATGCACCTCATAATTCTGCCTTCTTAATGTTTCGGGGGAAGCTACTGCTCCCAAGTAAAAAGAGTACTGGGATTCAGCTTCTTCCTAATGAAACCTCAGACAGCCATTGAAGGGCAGAGCTTTTTCGTGTGAAGTTCACCTGGCCACATAAATATAATGATACTTATTATACTGTATTGAAATTGCCTCTTTTCAGCAGGTGATTTAGATATTTCTGAAGGTATCATTATGCCTTTGTGTAGGTCTTTGCATAATTCATAGTGGATGTTTGTTAAATAAATATTTTGTAAAGACAGCATTTGCTTTTTGCTACTGTCATTCCCCTACCTGTCTCTGCTGCTCCATAAACTTGATGATTGCCTCTCCCTTGAAACTTTTAGTGTCAAGATGACAGGTTACTCTCTTATACAGTTTATTGTATATAAATAAGAAAGTTATTAGGGAACGTTTAATATGACAGATTCTCATAAGAAAAACCTCATGAGGGATTTCTGCTTTAATTAATAGCTTCTGAGTCCAGAATTTTCTAGAGTATAAAAGCATTCATGACTCAGATGTTACACATTTTTCTTCACACCCTATTTATAGAGACCAGTCACCATTTTACACAGCCCTATTCCACGCACCCTAATGCATTACTCAGGAGTAAGAAACAGAGGAGAGCAGATAGATATGTGCCTTTTGGATGGCTTTGATCTTAATTGTGTTATTTCTTGATTTACACTGAGAGGTTTTCTGTGTGCCTCTGCATTTGTTGAAACTGTACCCGAGCTAGTTTGACGTGCCTGCAGAAAGCACAGTAAAGGTTCAAAGGAAGTGGGCAAGATGTATTTTACAGTCACTTAAAAAGAGACCTAGATATTTGGAGGGCATTTTCTTCTCCATCAAACTTCTAAAAGCTGAGCCGGAGCGTAACCTCTTTCACTCTGCAGGAAGCCCAGGGACCCGGTGAACGGAGTTCCTGCGTGTATCCTTGCTTCATGAGCTCCAGCATGGTTGCGTTTATATGCTTGTTTCAGATCACATGTGCTGACAGTCGTGCCTTGCACTGTGCAGCCCAAAATAAAGGGAGCCTCACTTTTTCAACCAAATAAAACAACCTTTGTCTGCTTTTCTTATCAGTCTTTAAAGAATGATGAGCAGTCAGCCCAAACTGATGTTCAGAAGCTTCTGGAATTGGGCCAAAAACAAAGGTAGGACCATTCTTTCTGTCCACTTTTGTCTTCTTTCTCCTCATTTTCTTTTGCAACTGCATCCAAGTATGACCTTAATTTAACTAATATTTGTCCATTCTAAATGCATGCGTTCATTTAACTGGTTACACTGGATTATATACATGATACACTTAGGCATATTGTTTGGATGCAAATTCTCATGCAGTAGATGGGGTTTGGGCTTAGGGTACTGCATATCTAACAAGCTCCTAGGTAGTGATGATGTTGCTATTCCTTGCTGTAGATCACAGTTGGAATGTTAATGATCAGGAATGTTTCCACCTACTAAGTTTCTTCTAAGAGGGACTTCCCCGCCATACGTGTGCTCATCAGCACACAGACCTGATGCCAATTCCTCAGTGGACCATGTTGAAGAGTGTCAAAATTTGATCACTAATGAATGGTGGGGTGTTACAGAAGGTGGTAACCCTACTAAGAATGCAACTAGAATTATTAAAATTAACAGTGTTAATTTATACATTTTACTGCTGAAGGATTTTAAAACTGTCTTTCAGAACAAAATTGTTAAAAAGGTATTTCAATCTAGAAATGAGCTAATATTTGCTAGAAGCTCACTTACAATACTTTGAAATATTTTCTCCAATTTCAACTTTCAAAGTGCCTTGTAAAAGTAGATATTAATTGTCATTTTATACATTGAATATTTTAACTAAGTATTTAAATGAGTGTCTGAGACTCAGGTTAATTTGGATTTGAGCCGCTCTGGTACTCAGTAACTGCATCTTTCTACATTGGCTCACGGACCACAAAGCAGCAAACTGTGAAAAATTGATCACAAATTGCCCTGTGGAGTCAATTATTAATAGCTTTCATCAGCTTCTGTCTCGTCCACTGACCTGGCCCTCTGAACCTGAAACCTATCATTGACATTCATTTACCATGTGCCAATGACATCTCTTAAAGTACAAAATCTAGTATCAAGAATTAACTCTTAGTTATTTGTAGCAGCATGTTTATTATTTTCTGAACATGAAATTTTCTTCACAATTCAAGATTAAACAGAGTTTGAATAAATTATTGATCTGAGCATGTTTCCAAAAGAACTTTACTTTAAAGGATTTTCTAAGCTTGAAATATACCACTTTTTAAAACCCTATTCTCAGTATCATCCAAATATTTGTAGCTAATAGAGTTCAGGATGGAGAATAAGGAACATCATTTTGAATACAAATATTGGCTTTTTTTTTTTTTTTTTTTTTTTTTTTCTCCGGTACCGGGAACCGAACCCACGACCTTGAGCTTGCCAGGCAGGCACTTTTGCCACTGAGCTAAATCCCCAGCCCCTCAAATATTGGCTTTTAACTCACTTGTAAGATGGAGGAAATATTAAGACATGACAACATCGATGGGCCTATAGGATATTATGTTACAGGAAATAAGCCAATGACTGAAAATAAATTCTTGCTTGATCTCATTGTCCTGTGTGGAACTCTAAAAAGTTGAGCTCATCAGAGTGGAGTATGTAATTGTCATTTCCACAACTGGCATGGTTAAAGAAAAGGGTGGGGGAGATGTTGCTCAAAGTATGTGAATTTTCAATCATGTAGAATGAGCTTGAACAATCTTTTGTGTAACATAGTTAAAAAATACTGTTCCTTGAAAAAAATATAAGGGAAGGAAGATATAACTGCTCAGAAGACATCAAGAGACATGAAGCATAACTACTTTTGCATAGTATTTCACTTTAGACAAGAAAAATTAATAAAAACGAGTAGAAATGTCATGTGTACAATGCATATGCAGCACCAGTAAGAAGACTGTGTTGGCTGAAGAAGACACAGTTAGCTATTTGGGGCAGATTTGGCCATAAAGCTCTCTGCAGACTGGGACCAAAGATAAAAACAGCTGTTCCAGAGTAGACTTTAGTGATGAGCAACAAGGAACTCATTTTAGGTATCTTGGTAGATGATCTAATTAGAGAACTTGTCTATGAATGCTTTGAGTGAAATAAAGAGATACAGACAGAGTGAGGAAAAATAGTTTACTGATAAGGACAAGGAGACCTCAACAGTGAAGCCCAGTGAATGAAAGAAAAACAATGTAGCCTGTCTTCTTCATGGGAGGGACATGAGTGAGGAGACTGGGTGATGCATGATAGGCATAAGGAAATCTGCTCACTGAGTTTGCTGAGGTTTCCTTAAAGTATATACATCTTGTTTTATAGCATGAAAGCATCCAGAGGAATCAGGAAATATATGATGAGTTTTCATGAGAATTTTTTTGCCTGTCTACATCTTGGTATCATGTGTGAGATACCAGATAAAGAAATAAGTCTTTAGTGAAAGGACAACACGTAAAAGCTATTCTGCAATTTCAAAATTTTATCTAAAATTAGAAAGCATGTTTAAAATGCACACTTTCCTGTGCACAGAATTAAGATCAACCAGAAAACTCAATCAATTCCAACAATAAATAACTTCTCAAAATTATATAGCATCTCATGTGTTACTTTTTGTTATTTACTTACAAATGAATTATAAAGTCATAGTTACCTGACTTTGAAGGGCAATGAGTATTTTATTTCCAAATTTTCTTGTATTGATAAACAGCAAAAGAATATTTTAGTACAAAGATGAGTTGAACTCACCACTGGGTATCAAAAGTATTAATTATTTGGACATTTAGAGGCCTACCTAATCTGAAAGAGTACAATATGCTTAAAAAGATGTTAGCTCTACATCTAGCTCTTAAGAATCACTTTGTCCACTGCAACCCATATCTGAAAAAAACAAGCCATAGAAATTTTTATTCTTTACATTATTTAGGGGCTTATTACTGGAAGACAATTTTAAATTAAGTAAACTAAAAGAATTCACAGTGGACTTCTAGAAAACTAAAAAAATGATGAGGATAATGTCAAATTCTCCAACCCTGAAGGTATTCAAATTAAAGTTCATAATTATTTGTGACACTCCCCCATAGAATAATTTATGTGAATATATTTTTACATTTATAATTTGGGAGAGAAGTATGAAATGGCTTCCATTAACATTTGAATACCATGAATTTCTATGCTAAAACATAAATATTTGGACGATGTCTCTTGTTATCACTGGACTTATCAAATCTTTAGGGCTTTAATTCAATCAAATTCCACTGGATGGTATGAAGGTACATTAGTCAGCTCTCTTCTCTGGGACCAAACTACCTGGCGCTACAGTATAAAGAAGGAGAGATTCTTTTCCCTCATGGTTTCAGAGAGTTCAGTCCATGGTTGGCTGGCTACAAGACAGCAACATTATGACAGAAAGACCTGGCATAGCAATACTGCTTAGTTAGTAGTGGCTGAGAAACAAGGTATCAGAACAGCCTAAGAAAGAAAGGTGCTAGGGAAGAAACATAGTACCTGAAGTCTCACCTTCAAGAGCCACACACACATACACACACAAAGAACTGTGTTTCATTCATCTCTGATGTTTCTCTTCATCCAGTCAACATAACATAATAAATGGTCACAATCCACCTCTACTCAACTTCACACTTAGACATATCCAAATTTAATAAATAAAGATAATAACAACTAATTCTGCCTAATATGATATAACTATCCTATGTGCAACCAAAGTGCAAATAATCTCTTCCCAAGGTCTCAACAATTCCCATATTTCTCAAAAGTGCAAGTCAAAGGTTCCATTGAGACTCAAAGCAAACTCATAGCCATAAATTTCAGTAATATTCAAATGGGCAAATCATTTAATCTCAAAATGAAATAGACAGGGTTAACATGTCCATTCCAAAAGAGAGTAATAGAGGAATACGAAACAATTTGATCAAAGCAAGAGTGAAAACACACAGGGCAGTATTAGATCATATTCATGTCTAACATCCTGGGCACATAATGGTGAGATGTGACATCCACAGGGCTGAGGAGCCCCCACCCCTAACGTCTTGCTGTTTGTAGACCTCAGAGTCTTTCTTTTAGGTTGTCTGTACTCATAGTGCACAGCTTTCCTTAAAGATATTCCAGGCTCCAGGGACTTCCACCTGCCAGGGACTCTAATTCAGCTTCCTGTTCATGCCCATAGTTTCAGGTTCTCCCTTTTAAGGACTCCTTGACTGACCTCCAAGATTTTTGTTTGAAATCTTGATAGATGCCTTCCACACCCCAAAGTCTTGTATTTTGCATGTTCATAAAATCAGTATGCCTTGGGGGATATCAAGTTCTGCCCCCAGCCTTATCAATAGGCAGACCCCCTTGGACCTTGGTCGCAGCAACCTCTGAGTGCCTAGATGGCTGAACATAGTAAAACATATACTGGGGAATCAGTTTTATACAACGTCCTTCTCAAGCAGATGTCTCAGGTGCTCTATTCTCAATTCAAATATTTACAATTTTTCACTTACAATGGGTAGTTTCTTGCTGGATTTTTAGATGCCATCAAGGGACTAGTCTCCTTTTCTCACTTTAAAGTGCGTCATTTCTCTTTAATGACACTGAACTCATCAGTTTACCACAGCTTAATACATAGCTTGTTTGGCGCCAATTTTAAGTTTTTCAAAATTTTCTGCTCTGGGTTTTGCTCATAATTCTCACTATAATTCTGTCTAAAAGCAGCCAATAGGACCAGCACCACAGCCTGAAATTTGGACTCCCTTATTAGTTTCTCAGCCAAATCAATTAATATAAATCTCCTACAAAGTCTCAAGACATGGAGAAAATGTGGAAATATTTCCTGCCAGAGTTTAACACAAATGCCCTGTGGTCCATCTGCCAACGTAGTCCTTGTTTCTGAGTGAATCCTTTGGATCGGGGCCATTATTGAGTGCTGTTCTTTCAGCATTCTCATTCTTTTACTTTTTCATCACTGGGACAAATATTGGACTGTCAAAACTTAAAAGAAGAAATGTTTATTTTGTCTCCCATTTTTAGATATTTCTGTCCTTCTTTGGTAAGCTCAAATATAGAAACTGCAGTGGAAAGGTTTGGGTGGAGGAAAACTCACATCACAGCAGTGGAGAAGCAGAGCAAACAGAGGGACCAAGGAGAGAGATGCACCCTCCCAGGTCAGGCCCTCAGCCATCTACCTCTGCCCACCAAGCTTCACCTGAGTATCACATTTGGCTATAGTGGCTCCATGACTCAATCACCTTTCAGAACCCCTGTCGGTGAGCACATGCGAAGCTTGGAGATATTTAGATAGAAAGCATGACAGCAGTCTTCTCAACTCATACCAGAATCTCTCACCAGTTATCTCTAGCCCACATCTCACACCGTTCCCAAGCTCCTTCCACAAACCAGTTGCAAAGGATTCTGTACCAAATGGTTAGGGGTAGTCAGAACAAGGACTCCATTTTTCTGCTACAGATTTTCTGTATTAATCAGCTTTATTGTTGGTGGAACCAAACTACCTGACACCACAAGTTAAAGAGGGAGAGGTTTATTTGGATCACAGTTTCAGAGAGTTCAGTCATGGATAGCTGGCTCCAAAGGAAAAACACCCTCATGGAAGGGCGTGACAGTCAGGAAACAGTGCCTGAGAGGAATGGGTGACGAGCCAGACATAAACACCTAGGTCACAACTCCGTGTCCCATGCAGATGCACTGGAAGTGAGCTTTCCTAGCCTTTTAGATGTCTCTTACCATCTTTAAGTTCATATGTCAGGATTAAGAGTTGCAAAGTCCTGTAGAAGCAAGTCTGTTATCATCTCCCGTGGGGCACCAACTACATCTGTGGGAGAGGAAATTTTGGTCTACACAAAGCCTGAGAGCAGTGAGCACCTGAAGAAATGTGTAAAGAAGGCAGTAAAAAAAGCTGAGAGAATTAGACAATAGAAGATGCACGTTTCCATTATCCCTGACAAGGTTCACTGCAGTACCATGTGCAGAATGATACACTACTCTAGTTTTTGTTCATAGGTCTCATTTTTTATCTTCCATTTTATCATTACCTGTAAATGTCAGTATGAGGGCTCTTTTTAATAATGGATATATTTTATAACAACTATTTGTTTAATGTTTCATATATATTATTTAAAACAAAAATGAGCCCAGAATGATGATATATACCTTTAATATCAATAATCTGGGAGGCTGAGACAGGAAGGTCAGAAACTTGATAAGAGTCTGGGCAATTTAATAAGATCCAGCTTTAAAATTAAGAATTAGAAAAATGGGATAGGAAAGTAGGACGATGTGAAGGTCTTGGTGTAATACAAACTATTACAAATTAATTAATTCCAAAATCTTAAATTTAAATTATTACTATAACATTTTTAGCTGGAAACACTTTAATTGCATTTCACTTGTTAAAGATTTGAGTATTTAGTTTAAAAATCACATCAATCCTTCTCTTCCCCCTCCCTGCCTTCTTTCCTTCCTATTTCCCTTCCTCTTTCTGTCTCAGTAGAGGCAGCAAACTAACTTTTGTACAATTCCACTTCCTCTCTATTCATCAGTTTTCTGTCTGTAATGTGTGGTCCTATTTTGATGAGAGGCTTATAATAATGACCTTCGTATGATAAGACTACAAGATATATAGAGCTTTATTGTGCAGCATACTGTGTTATGCCATGGATGCTCTTTGTGTAAAAGTCAGAAATAATAGAGGAATTCCAGACCTAAATGTCTGCATATGAAATGAGTTTGATTCATTGATTTGAGACAGAGTGGCTGTTGCAACTTAACACCCACTTTACACCAAAACAGTAAGTGCGTCATAAGTATAACATAATTCATACAGGAATCAAACTGAGTGTAATTATGTTATCACTCATGCTGACTATGATTTGCTTTGTCAAAGTTCTAGTTGATTCCTACCAGCTTTAAGGCTCCCTCACATTCTTGACATTTCAGATGCTGCATGAGAAGTCCTAGAGTAGGAAATCTGGGGCACCATTCATTTCCTTGCACAGTAGAGTTGCTTGTGTTTATGTGGTACTTGGTGGCCTGCACCATGGTCTAACATTTGTTGCGTGACTTTTTGCTTGGCATTAAGCAAGGATTTTGTTTACACAATGTCCTGCAAACCAAACCACAAGACTGCCTGTTAGTTCCATTGTTATATTCATTTTACAGATGAACAAACTGAGTCTGGAAAGGTGTGTCACTGACCAAAATAATCAGGACTAGTTTCCTGTCATTTGATTAAGAATGTTAAATGAGTTAACTGGTTTGGGCACTGGTAAGACCAGAACAGATTTCTGATTTGTTCTTGCTGATTTGCGGGAGTGTCTCTAGCCAGGATTTGCTCATGCACGTATGTATACATGCGCTAAACTTTAATATTTAGCCATTTGCAAGTGATAGCTTTGGTGATAAAATAAAGCACAGGCAGATAATGTTGTCAGTCTTAAAGTAGTAAATTTTACATCCTTAAGAGACTGGAAAATGCAGGAAAATATTTCCATTTTCAAAAACGGAGCCGAAGTTCATATACTCATACTAGTGAGAATAAGCCACAATGTGTATATACGAGTAGTAATGTCGCCTTTATTATGCCCATTAAATGAGGTGGCCTTCAAGTCATAAATAAGTCTCTTTTCTCCTTGTTATTATGGAAATGCTCAGGCCGTGGGAAGGTTGTCTAGAGCACAGTGCGATAGAATTAATCAATTAGGAGCACCCGAAGGGAACGGTATTTTTATCCTATCTTCTAGCCTATTGTGACTTTCCTAACCAGCATGTCCATACCCTGACATGCTGTCAGTGAAATTAGCTTTGCAGCCCAAATTAATAAATTGATTTGATTTAGCACCTTATGTAGCTTACAGATGATTCAAGCAGTGGGATTCTTACAAAACATAAGAGCAGAACAATTTCCTTTAAGTACAGCTTGCTTTTAGTATTTGCCTGGGAGACAGGGCCTTTCAGTACAGAGTATTTAGCTATATCTTGTTTGCATAACCATTGCTTGATAAAACTCTAGTTATCTATTTCCTAAATGTTGGTAGATAGCAATGTACAAAGAGCATAATAGCATGATATTACATCTCCCCTTTGCTGTTTGTTTTGTACTAAACTAGAGAAGAAATGAAGTCTCTCCAGGAGTCCTTGCAAAATCAACTTAAAGAGACATCCGAGAGAGCAGAGAAACACCAGGCAACTGTAAGTGTGTTTCTGTTTGCCCCTTTGCTTCGGGCCTGGGAAATCATCACTTTGCTTCTTTGAAATTATTGTATGTCTTTCAGTCACCACGACATGGAGAAAAAGGAACATCATTCCACTTTTGGTAGGAATGTAAATTAGTGCAGCTACCATGAAAATCAATGTGCAGATCTTCACTAATCGCATTCAATTGGGTTTTATTGGATCCCGATTTAATATGTGACAATGCCGGTAGTAAGAGTGGAATAGAAGTGCTCTGTGTATTGTTTTCTCAGATCTTCATAGCTGGATATGTTGTCTGATTGTTTCTTTACTGAAAAATAATAATTCAGAGAAGGAAAATTTCCAGCTTCTATTCATGTTGCTGTAGGCAGAGGAATAAAGCACAAACTCATGTGCATTCCAGTGTGTTATGTAAACTAAGATGCAAAAAGGAAGAGAGTTTCAACTTTTGAAGAGCAGAAATCAAAAATATTAACACCAGATAGTGAAAATTATCGCAGGCACGGAATACTCAGGAAGAAGAAGAGGGCAGGACAAGCTGAGCTACCTCTGCCTTCTCAGCGTGCTTGCAGTGAATACTGAGGCTTCCGTAGTGAGATTTCAGGGTTTCTGCCCCTCTCAAGTATTCTACTGAACTGGAAACTCCCTACAGGAGCACAACCTTCAAGCGTTTCAGAATAAGAGATTCTGCATTGAAATTCGTAGTAGAAAATGTACTGTGTGAATTTGATCAAGTTCTTTAAATTTGGCAATTTTCCTCAGTTGTCCATTTGAGGAAGTTGAATCTCACTGAAGCAACATAAGCAATTTTCCTAAAAGTCTACCTGATGTTAGAGGAAAGTAGGTACAAAGGTGATATTTCTCTGCTTTTCTCTGGTCATTTTAACTTCTTATCTCATACTTGTTAGCTGAGTGCATATGTGTGTATCACTTTATTTCTCAAAATTATATGTCATCATCATCATCTTTTTTATTTATAAACATTTTAATACTCTACTATCCATTAATATCATAGTAAGTGTTCTCAAGGATAAGATGAATATCTGAAAAAGATTAAAATGATATCTACTGTTCATTATCTAGACTTTTTTGATTTCTCAACTCTCCTGACATTGCTATGCAAAGTCACATTTTTAAGCAATTCCTGGGTTCTATGTCATGGATTTCCAAAAGCTGTTCTTAAAAGACGTTATCAAATGATCTGAGATTAAACTTAGATTTCCAGAGTTACAGGTGCTGACTTTATGGGAATCAGATATAAGACTTCATCAATAACCATGACAGTGCTGTTTCACTTTCATAACATAAATAACTGCTAATTAAGCTTTTATCTGTGACTTGCATTGTCTTAACTGCACACTAGTAATTCTATTTTTTTCCTATCAACTTTGAATAATTTAAAAATCATTCATCGGCATATACTTATATAATTAGGTAAGTACGTGCAAATGTATATGTGTGTGTGTATGTATGGGTAAAAAGTAGTTTATATTTTGGGATATATTATATCTGTTTACTAGAAATATAAAATGTAAAAGAAGAATCTGCAATGAATCTGTAATCACTTAGAAGTTGAAATTTTGACATAGGTGACAGGTAGTAATACCAAATTTATCTCACCCCACGTTAGATGTTAGCAAAAGTACTTTTCTGTTCTCTCACCTAATGACAAAATCAGAAGTTAGTAGAGCAATAGCTCATAGTAGACACCAAAAAATTCCAAGTAACCAGGTTCAAAGAGCATGCCCTAAGCTGGCCTACCAACCGTGCAGACAGGGCCAGCTCTGGTGGCCTTCAGTCTGGGAGACTGAAACAAGAGGTGTGCATATTTGACCCAAGCCTGGGCAATTAAGGACTTAACAAGTTCATATCTGAAACAAAACAAAACAACAAAGAAATCACAAAAAGGTGGGGGTGGAGATGACTCTGAAGGTCATGTGTCTAATCCCTAATACCCCTCTGCCCCTCATAAAAAATTAGAGAGAGAATAGTTAATATTAAGAGAATAGTATTAAACACACAAGCATAGTAAACATAAAAATTGAAAATATTGCATATTTAAAAGTAACGTAAAAATATATTTGCAAAACCACCTTGTAATAAGGTGAATTGGTAACAATAGTCACTGCTCATATGCTACAGAAATTTAAGGAACAGTGATATAAAAAGGGAAGGGCTTATCTACTAACAAAATTTTAAGAAAGAAAAGTAAATTTATGTATGTCTTCATCTAACTAAGCAGCTTCATCATCAGTCTGTTAATAGTATGAGAAATATATGAGCACATATGCTTAATATTTGGAAAATACAATTGTGAGTTTTATACTTTCACATGTATTAAGCAATCTCCAACAGTTTCTATATTTATTGAAAACACGGATGTTATATGTACAATGTTACAAAAATACAATATGTACTAATACCTACCTAAGGTTTGATATATTCAAGAATATTAATAGAACAATATTGATAGAATATGAAATGATCAATTCACTAGTATTGTAACAAAACTAATAATTTTACAATGTGAAACAATTCTTAACTATGGAAAAAATGTAACTCATTTTCAAACAACCATTAGATTAATAAGAAATAATAACAGACATTAAGACATACTTAGGACCAATTAATAATGAAAATAACACACGCCATGGTCATATTCAGTAGGGAACTGATTGAGTTAAATAATTTTCTTTCAGAAAAGGTGGAAGAAAATATATAACTTAACAAGTTGATTAAAACAGAAAATAGCAAATTCAGTAGAAAAAGCAAAGAGAGATTTAGGAAGGTCAGACAGAGATAACGAGCCGTAACACAGAGGCAGGAGTCGGGCTGCATCTGAAAGTTAGAACACTTGGGTAGCATGTGCGAGGCCATGAGTTTCATCCCCAGCACCAAAACAAAGCCAAACAAAACAAAACAAGTGAAGGAGATAGAGAGAGAGAGAGAGAGAGAGAGAGAGACAGCAAACATGCAAACAAGACCTGAACATTGGTATTTAGTTTTTTCAAAAGATGATAAATTTAAACATAAAAGAATCTGCCAAAAATTATAGAAAGCCTCAACTTATAAAATATTTAGTAAAAAAGGGATAGCAACCATATTCATAATTGAAATTATTAAGAGTATAATGAGCAACTTCATTGTCCATTAAAAATTTGAAAATGCAAAACTTTAAATATAAAATTCTAAATGTTCTCAAACATGAAATATAGTATTTGACTAGGCCAAGATGTTTACAATTTTATTGTACAAAAAATGTTCCCTTCTTCCAAGCTTCAACATGAGCTTTTTTATTACTAATAGTACATATTTATAGTAGGTTATACGTCCATTTCTTTTTGGTGTGGGTACACATGCATAACACATTTGAATTGCTTTGTTCATCCACTTTGCATTCCCTCCCTTCCCCTAGACCCACGTCTTGATGCCTTTTCCTGTTTTTTTTTTCTTTTGTACATGTTTTGATACAGAATGTTTACATTCCTTGTGTGGAGTTTGTTTTAATAGTGATTTTTCATCTATTTTTCAAATACAAATTAACTCCTACCATATGCAAGTCTTTTATAGATAATAGAAAGCAAAACAAAAACTATTTTTGTTTTATGTGTGTACATTTATGATTCCAGAATCAGTGAGTAGTGAAAGGTTCAAATACATTCATAGATATATTTCATCAGGAAATTTAGATATAAAGCCCTGAAGAATTTCATGAGTGTATTAACAAATTATACATTATGATCAATGAGTACAAACATTTACATGTGAAGGAAATCGTAATGATCACTTTGGAGAAGTGGATTTATGTTTGGATTGAATGAGTCATAGCCTGCTTCTCAGTCAGGAAGGAGATGACAGCAACTTTTAAAAGAATTGAGAATGACGTATATTTGTAAATACGCAACACACACACACACACACACACACACACACACACACACACACAGTATCTAGAAGAACAGGAATTTCTTATTGGTAATTTACACTTTGAAAATGCAGGTTAAACCTCAGATACAATGATGTGTGATTTTCCTTCCTGTGTGGAGAGTCTAAGTTAACTAAGATTCAGTTCATAAGTAATTTAACCATTTTTGTTTTTGTAAATTTTTCAGTGCTTATTTTCCCTGCTAGAAAGACTGTCATGTTAATTGAAGTTTATAAATATATGGAATGCAAATGTGTTATGTACATGTACTAAGTCCTCAGGATGAACCTAATCATTAAATACTGCAAACGTTTACCAAAAAAAAAAAAAGAAAAAGAAAAAGAAAAAAAGAAAAGAAAAGAAAAGAAAAGAAAAGAAAAGAAAAGAAAAGAAAAGAAAAAAAGCGGGAATTGTTCTCTGTCAAATTTTGGATTTCCTTCTGCTGGGACTGTGATATTTTAGATTAAATGGCAAATGGCTTTATGCTACTCTTCTTTAAATAGCAAATTACGTTTTCTATTTCCATAAAAATAAAAAAATTCTACAATTTTTGCAAAAGATGTTGCAAATAAGCACAGAACTTGGTTAAGTCCAATGTAAAATGCTGAGCTGGAAAGGTAATTTTTCCTTTTAAATTAATTATACTGATGTAGAAGAAGATATAGCTCTGACTAAAGACAATTTCCCAAATAAGCACAATGTAAAATCCATGAATCTGTCTTCATCTAATTCTGTGTCCACACACAGGAAATAACTATTTTCATTTTAAAGCATATAATAGAGTGACATATTTCTAAAGCTTGTGCGCCTCAGGAAAAACCCTACCAGACTGTGGGAAGCCTGAGTTCTCAGGAGTAACCAGAATAATTATACATATTAATGATCATTGGGTGCAGCTAACTACTTTTATTAATTTTTATGGCTTACCTTATCCTAAGACATAATCTTTGAAAGTAAAAATTGCCTAATGATTTTATTCTCAATACAAATAAGGAATTACTGTTCTTACATTCTTTATTGAAAGTTAAATACATGGTATTTTCAATGTCTAAGAATTATTTCATGACTATCTGCTAGAAATGCTTATTTCCCCAGGGATGTTAAAAGTCGCTGGAATTCTAAACCAATAGCCTCAAAATGCTAATACATTTAAAATATTCTGAATATATCCTGGGTTCACATTCTCAAGTTATTACATTTGTGTTTAACTTTTAAGGAGTTGCAGATGGCATTGTAATATGTTTTCAGTTTGGTCATTTGTTAATTATGACCAGCTTGGACCAAATTATACAAATGAGTGATGATTTCAATAAAATAATACTACCTCTGCAAAAGCAATTTATTGATACAATTAAAATGGTATCCACTAATTCATGACTGAAAACAAACATGGAACTTACAAAAATTGTCCAGTGGTAATAAAATGATTTGGTAGAAATGGATGTGAAATCTATTTGCTGGGAGGTAGTTAGTCTACAGGTATGTCATTTCAAATAGCATCACATCCTTCCAGGTACTTTCTTTGTTTGATCATCTAACTAGAACTCTCCACCTAATGGGAAATAAGTACTGGTAATAATTTGAATTGTTTTTCATATTCTCTTAGTTCAAATTTACTTTGAAAATTAGTATGACTGGAGCACTGGACAAAATTGTTCTCAAGCTATTCATATATACTCTTCTATTAGCACCCAGATTGCTTGGTTTGGGTTCTCAGTATCATATGAAGGAAAGGTAAGGTCACAAGCCACAGAAGGAAAGGTGTTAGCAGGTGTTGGGAGTCTTCTAACTGGCTTTGGGAAGCCAAGCCCATGTGTCAGTTGTCAAGTGGTACCGGGGATGCTGCAGCTCTTGAAGATGTCAGGTGCAGGACTGCACTATGGACAAATATTCTGTAGTATGCAAAATGAAAACTTTTTTATGAAAAGTTCTGAAAAATGTTGGACAAAACGGCTATATCCATTTAATCTCGGGGGTGAACTCATAGAACATTTTATACATTACCGTGTATTATTTCCTCATGCTAGATATGTTTCAGAGATAAGCATTTTCGAAGAGACCTACACACTTCTCCCTAAGCTTGACTTCTGGTCCAGTGTCTCATTCTGTCCAGAGAGATAGCTTGTACTATAAGCCATTTTCTACTGTGAAGGAATCTTTCCTATGCCAAGCTGCTGAGCATCAGGATTATGAGTAGTCCAACTGATTTATGCTATTAATGTAATACACACATTGAATTCAAAGACATTTTAAAAAGAATGCAAATTTATGTCATTAACAATCTATATGGGCTGGAGGCTTAGCGTAGTAGTAGCATGTGTGCCTTCATGAGGCCCTGGATTCAATACATAGCACAAAATAATGTACGTACTATGTGCAAAGGGGGGTGTTTCTAATATACCAAATCAAATATACTGGGAAAATTAATTTCACCTGCATTCTCTTATTTCTTCTAAATATATGACTCCAGGAAAATTGAAAAACATACAAATTAAATGCTCCACCCAATATCATGGTTTTTTTTAATTACAGCAAATCCTTGGTGACTATACTGAATATAAAGCCTATGCAAATTCTAACCACTGTACTAGACTGCGTTTGCTTTGTTATACCAAGGTCAGATAAAGCTTCTGTGTTTACAGGAAACAGTTTGGAATAGTGGCCTAAAGTTATAGATCCTGACAATAAAGTCAAGAGAAAATATTAGGGTTTCTTTGGTGTAACACACATTTAACAGTCCAAGCTTGAGAGGTGAGGAATAACACTATGCCACTGCTTTTCAATCTGGTACAAGGCAAAATTACTCGGAAATGATTTACAGTAGGCCCACTCTCCAAATAACTCTCTTTTTATTTAAAGAATCATTTTTTTAAAACCTGGGGGGTATCCAGGTTAAAGACTTACAGTCACTATGTGGATGATTTCTCAATTAAAAAGATATAGTATGTTACTCAAGGAAAAATAATTTTACATGATAGTGAATATATGTTAGAATTGAATAATGAAAGTTTTAATTAACAAAATTTTAATTCTTTGTTTTTTTCATTGATTGTGAAATTAGTCATTCTATTATAATTTAAAATGATAAAAAATATAAAAGACCTGGAAATAAATGTAGCTGGATCTACATAATATTCTCTTCATTTTCAGATTAATTTTTTAAAAACTGAAGTGGAAAGAAAGACCAAAATGATCCGAGACCTTCAGAATGAGGTAAGAGTTACATTTCAGGAAGACATTGTATAAGTCAAAGGATAAACAGGAACACAGGTATACATTTGTCACATGCTTGGGGTTTTTATCACATAACTTGGTCTTCTGTTGTAGACTAGTAGAAAATTAAGACTGAGTGTGTTAAAAAGAGGCAGGACCTCAAAACATCGTTTTTGTTGTTTTTGTGTTGTTTTAACTTTGTCTTCATTGTTGTTTTGTTAGTTTTTTTAATTTTTAAAATAAAATCAAGCAGACAGGGCTTGGCGGCCCACCCTGTAATCCCAGCATTCCAGAGGCTAAGGCAGGAGGAACACTGAGAGTTAGGGCTCAGTCTGGGCTACAGAGTGAGCTAGAAGGAGCCGATCCAGAAGGAAAAACGTCTGTATGACTCTCTTGACTATAGCAGATGTGAATATAAAGAAACTGTAACTAGTTTCATGGAAATGTTCACCAATATGTGAGCACACAGACACAAACACACACACAGCAATATGAACCCATATACATGATAATGAGAATATTAGATTAATTTTTTTGTATAAATATTACCAGTTGACTATTAATCTAAGATAAATTTTAAAAATATAGGATTCAACAATCTAGGACTCAACTGAGAAATAAGCATACGGTGGTTTCTGCCTAGATGTCCCGCAAAGTCTCACGCAGTCATGGGGCAGCAGGCTTTGCAGAGGTGGCTGAATCAAGAGTGCGTGATGGTGGATCAGTTCACTGACTGGAGTGGCACCACCCTCATCCCAGCAGCCTAGGTAGAGTACAAAAGGAGCAGAAAGGCACTGTGAAGGTCTGTTGTTGCTTTCGCTGTCTTCTGCTGCCATAAACTGTTACCCCTCTGCCATCTGCCACCCTGCCTTGGAGCCAGCTGCTTATGAAACCTCCACAAGCTGTGGTCTACATAAACCTTTCCTCTCTTACATTTAGGTGTTGGGTATTTTGACTCAGCAGGGAGAGAAAAGTTTCAACATAGCACTACAAATTCTTTGTAACAAGTTAATATGAAGACTGACAGTATTTCTCTTTGTCTTGGAGTAAACATTTATATGAAATTCTAATTTGCTTCCAAAAGAAGGCTAGAATAATTCCATAAACTTTATAAGAGCTAATATTTGCTAAACACATTTTTAAATTAAACCTATTACTGTTTACTTTTGTAACACTTCAAAACTGTGAGATAAAAAACTTGATAATGAAAATATTATTAAATTTCCTAAAGAAACCTGATGATGAACATGTAGCCCGCTGCAGAATGGTTTGTTAGAATCCTTTGTATTAATTCCCAGAACATTTAGGTTTTTATTTGAGCGAATGATCACCAACCTGTGGAGATTGATGGAGATACACTCAAGAAGACAGTTCACCCATACTCTGCATAGCAGTATTGTACGGGCAGTGCTAGGAAGGTCCGTTCATGAAAAAGTAAAGCAGATACACTGGTTAAATAAGGTGAAAAAGGTAAAGATGACAGTAAGGTATACACAGAGTCCCGGAGCAAGTTAGGGGTCTTCTAAACAATTGCTTTTGAATGAGAAGATTGGAGAAGTCTCAAAATAAGAAGCGGATTTTGGAAAGTCATTAAAGAATATTCTTTCAACCACATAGGCGAAAAAGATGTTTTCACATTAGCTTGTAGAATTCAGTGTTAAATATTTACAGTTCTTTTTGAAAGAGGAAAATATATATAAAAGCTTTTAAAGGAGAGGTTTTTCAAGGCACAATACACTTCAAGTTTCCCATCCAAGCAGGGGCATGTGAGAGCCCATGAGTCTCAGGGTGTAGGACACAGCCATTCACGAATCAAAATCATAGCCAGAAAGGCACACTGGGGAATACCCACAGTAAAATGATCATGAAAGTGCAGAAGAATCAGTGAGTGTTTTCTTTTGTGTATCTGGTTGATTTTACAAGGGGAATGGAGAAGGTGATTGAAAGGAAAGTAATTTATGTGAGGTTGGTTAGAGCATGTGAACCACCTGCATTTATTCTACCTCTATGTCAAAATCATCAGAAAGTCTTAAGCTTTAGCTTCGATATTGATGGATGTCACTAACGGAAGCTCCGTGGAGATCCAGGCAACTCCAGCTTTTAGTGCCTGGCTTCTGGCTTTTTGTTCAAATTCTCTTATATGGAATCAAATTCTCTTATATGGAATCTCAAATCTGTTCTATCATAGCGTGTGTTTCCTTGTACTAAATCCCTAGATTAGCAGTGAATGAGAGGCAGAATGCTGTCAGGAAAGCTTTGAAAGCCATTTTGATTTTTTCCCCTATGTGCTAAGGTTTGAAGCAACGCAGCCTTCTCAAATTTTAGAAGGATCTTTCTCAAAACCAGACACACACACACAGAAAGATAGAAAATCTATAGAAAGGGTTCCCTTAAGTACTCTGTACTTTTCACTACACAAAAATATATGACTGATCTATATATACAGAAGATTGTATTAAGGCTTCTCTGCATTAAAAAAGAGATTAGTGAAAAAATCTGCATTGGATTTTAATGTTATTGCTAATTTACTTTAGTAGAGGTCAGTCCCTCTGTGTTCTACATACTGAAGGGAGGAACTAACACTAAATCCTGAGTGTAAGGTTGTCGAGATTGAACGATGTTAGGCTATTAGCTGGAAAGCATTAAATTTTAGCTGTATTTTTGTTAGTTTTGTTGTTACTTTTGGTGTTGCTATGGTTACAATTTGCGTAATAAGGGGTCTTCCCAAATCCTAGTTTTTCCCTTAAATGCACTATTTTTACTGTTTAAATCACATAATGTTAGTTTTTCCACAATTCAAAAATTGTTTTACATTAACTTTGTATTTTATGTCTATAGATCTGATCTTTGCAGTGTAAACCCTGTGTTTGAAATTTAAATTGTGGCATGGTAAAAGATTTAGGGAGCTTATTTCAGTAAATGTACATTGGATAGCTCCAGCCCAGATGTGGCTTGGGAGCTCCAGCAAGGAAACGCAGGGGCAAGGCTTTGGTAGTACAAACACCAGCTGTAAAGAAACTTTTAACTGATTACAGGTATACAGTTACTTTATTTGGCCTGTCCTTTTCAAAAGTCCCCAGGTCTATAAATTCATGAGTTTCTTCTGATTAATTAAGGTTACATTCATTTTTCAAATACTGTATAGTCATTTGTAAGAAATAGCAGAGAAGAGTTTTTGCTTATATTGGCAAACCAAGCAAGATGAAGGTCACTTGTGAAGCCTAATTGGCTTTGTCTGCTCAGCATCTCCGAGTCCTGGTTCCTGGTATAACACGCCACACAGTCTTGCGCCTTTCACATAGATGATCATGTTCTCTCTCTGCACACTGTACACATCATGCCTGATTATCAGAGCCTCGATTTCACCTCTCCTAGAGCTGAAGTGACCTTAGGTAAAAAGGGAATTTGCTTTGACTTTTGAATTTTTCACTGGAAATATGGATTTAATACTATAGAAAGTTTTTCATGCTGTGGAAACAATTCTCAAAAAAAAATGGTACCATGTGCATTAAAGGCCAGTTTTAACAAAGTGTTATAGTGCATGGTATCCAGCGCTATTACTCAGGAGTCACCACTGAAGGGTGCTGAGTAGTGGAGAAAAGTGTGCATGTGTTTATTTCACAGTATCTCAAGGGCATACTCGGCACCCTGTCCATCCTTATCTTGAGAGTACAATTTTCTTTGGTCCGACTCATTTCGTCAGTTATATGCAGACTCTTTAAAGTTATAAAGCTATCTTTTATAAAGTCTAGTTCACATTTTTCCAAAAAGAATATGAACAACCTGGATTTGTCTAATTGAAAAAAAATTAAGACCACTTGGGCTGGGGATTCTAGCTCAGGGGCAAAAGTGCCTGCCTGGCAAGTGCAAGGTCTTGAGTTTGATTCCCAGCAC